CAATACATAGGAAACTGTGTTTCTATAATTGTCTCATAATATTATTTATGTGAAATTAATTCAATGCGAGTGTTAGATACCAATTATCAGTATTTAGTAACCAAACGAATGACAAAATAAAAGTTTTTAAAAACTTTTTTACTTTTTCGTGAATAAAGAGTTTCATTGAAAACTACAAATTGTGTGTAAAATGTATTGAATGAACGCACAGATTGCGTGCTTAAGTGACTCGTTATGCCATCTATTGTTTGGTTCACTAAAAGCGGCCAAAACTTTGCAAAACTTTTGACGTAATGTTGACTCAGAGTTGAGTGCAAAGTGTTGTCCATTAGTTGTGTCACACATTTGCTGTGCCTTTGAATGCAGTGGACGTGTGGTTGACATGAAAATGAGACACAAAACTAACCATCGATTCACTGATCGCTCAACTGATCCACAGCAACGACACGACAATCATCACAACAAACGGTTCCCACAACGAGGTCGCTCTGTAATCCCATACGTGTTCCGTATGAGACAATTGCGGGGATCGGTGACCAACGGGGAGAGGATGGCGAGCCCACCCGCCATAACCCCCGCCTCGCATCTGATCCCTTGGAGATTTCGTCGCCAATACTGTCCGCACGGATCAGACGCACCGAAACGTCCGACGGATCCCATACTAAGCCGTTTGCCGGCGATGACCATCACTGAGAAGATGTGCCGATTGTATGGACTCTATAAGAGTGCCCCGAAACCGACCATTTCATTCACTGGACTCCATCTGCCTGTCCACCACTCACCCCATGTATTGTCATCACAGGGATGTCTGTCCGACGATAGGAATCCCGAAACCAATGGTTTTGATGCCATGTTTGATGCGAACTCATCACCGGATCTGTTTGTGTCAAACAGCGAAGGTTTTGGTGACTTCTCTGACGAGGAATCCATTGAAATGAATGAATCCATTGTTTTTAACGATGATTTCAATCGAAGAAATTCATTTGAATTGAAAGAAAGCGATTGCAATGCAAAGACATTTGAAGAGCAATTCGAGGATCAGTTGACACGAGTCTTCGACAACGCTATGGAAAGCTATTCATCTGAAGGCAGAATGTGGTCACAAAGTGTCCATCCCTTAAGATCCACTGTTTTTACCGACGCTCGCAATCAAATCCGCGAGTTTTTGGTCAACACTGGAGTCTTAACTAAATGATCATTGAGTCCATTAAGTGTTTGATTTTGTATTCATTTATTTGGCACTCAATTTGTAAATACTTTTTATTTATCATAAAAACTCTGTAAATATTAAATAATTAGTTAATTAAATGTATAATACTTTAGAGTTAATGTGAAAATTATTATTTTTGTGTTTCATTCAAATAAATGATTCAATAGCTCACTAACAAACCCCTTAACACTACTGACAACTGGTGTATTGTGAACAGGGATGTAGTGGTGATGAATGGGAAAAGTTGTGCTCAACTGTGTCCACAGTTTGTCCGAAGATTAGACCAAATGAGTGGTGAGGCATACAGTCATACATACAGTCATACATACAGTCATACTGTAGTGTAGTTTAGCGGCAAATAATGCAAACAGAGAGCAGTTGTGCTCCCATTGGCTGTTGGGCTGAGAGTCGACGTCAACACTAAACCACTGTTTGTCTCATATGTGCTGCAAATAGTGGTTGAGATCACTGTGGGATCAACTGATGGCCACATTAAGGAAACACGACTACACTCTGGATGGCAGCGATTGGGATCTGTCTCTCCTATCCCTCAATGCGGCGCCCGTTGAAGACCTCCAGAAGAACCCAAAGGCCAGACGTATAGATCTGTCCAACAATTTCTTATCTAAACTGCCGGTGAGTTTGTCTTCATTGTCATCACTTACCATAGGAACCACTGATTGATGTATTATTGTCTCGCATATGACTATATGACTGGTGAAGGACTCGTTCACAGCACTGAACCACTTAATAGTCTTGGATTTGAGTCGAAACCAATTAACATCATTACCACAAAGTTTCGGTGATCTCAACAAATTGATTCGTTTGGACCTCTACTCCAACCAATTGCGGACATTACCACTGAGTTTCGGACGCCTCTCGAGACTCAAGTGGTTGGACCTGAAGAGCAATCCATTGGAACCGCGTTTAGCCAAATATGCGGGCGATTGCGTGAATGCCAGACAATGCGAGTTATGTGCCATCAATTGCATCAGATTTGT